GTGCAGCCCACCATGCCGTACGTCGTGTACCCGGCCTCGTGCAGGTACTGTGGAGGGGTTTGGGGTTTGCAGGTTTGGTTCCGGGTTCAAAACAAATGAGCAAGTTTATGATGGGTATAAGTGCACCCCACCATGCCGTACGTGGTGTTTCTCATCCTCGTGTAGGTATTGTTGAGGAGTTTAGGATTTCGGATTGTGGAGTAGGCTACAGTTGAGGCTTTAAACAGATTGTTCGGGGGGACGAACGATGAGCATAGTGAATAAAGTGGTGCCTATGCGATGGCATACTCAAAGCATACGATGAAATCGAGAACTATAAGAAGCAATTTATATTGAGAAACAAGAGTATTCATCTCTCACGCCCTCCACGGTATCGATTCAACCCTGTGCAATCAATGGTGAAGCTAAGCCCACCGACAACAAACGTGTGCCATTGCACTTGTTCCGACGCATGTCGGGTTGTCTCACCTGTGTCATCTGTGTTGTTTTGCCAGAGCCCGTCTCCCCCACCACCACCACAATCTGGTTCTCTCGAATCACCTGACCAGGGGGGGAGGCAAAGAGACACGACATTGGTATGAGACAAGACAAGGGAATGATTGGAATGCGTGGATGGCAGGATAAAAGAAGAATGTCTCGCCCAATGCCACCACCATCTGGTTCCCTGGAATCAGCTGTCCTTGGTAATGTGAGTCCTTGGTAATGGGGTAATGTGAGTCCTTGTGAGTCCTTGGTAATGGGGTAATGTGAGTCCTTGTGAGTCCTTGGTAATGGGGTAATGTGAGTCCTTGTGAGTCCTTGGTAATGGGGTAATGTGAGTCCTTGTGAGTCCTTGGTAATGGGGTAATGTGAGTCCTTGTGAGTCCTTGGTAATGGGGTAATGTGAGTCCTTGTGAGTCCTTGGTAATGGGGTAATGTGAGTCCTTGTGAGTCCTTGGTAATGGGGTAATATGAGTCCTTGTGAGTCCTTGGTAATGGGGTAATATGAGTCCTTGTGAGTCCTTGGTAATGGGGTAATGAGTCGACTGACACGATGGCATGAGAGGGAGGCAGAAGACATCCAGGCATGAGATGGCACAATGGCCTGAGTTGGCACTGGCATTAGATGGCATCGCACCATGACCATAGCACAGGGTGCTCTATAGCATGACATGAGAATGCCCCCGACAGCTCGTCCGTGAAAGAGTAGATGGGCAGGTGCATGTGCTGCTCCGCAATAAACTTGGGGTTGCGGTCAGCCCCTACAAACAAGAGTAGACATACCTGCTGTGAGGCCTCACAACACTGTCCTGCAGCAGCTCGCCCCTACCTGCAGCAGCCCGCCCCTACCTGCAGCAGCTCGCCCCTACCTGCAGCAGCTCGCCCCTGCCTGCAGCAGCTCGCCCCTACCTGCAGCAGCTCGCCCCTACCTGCAGCAGCTCGCCCTACCTGCAGCAGCTCGCCCTACCTGCACCAGCTCGCCCCTACCTGCAGTAGCTCAGCCTACCTGCAGCAGCTCGTCGCGCACGGAGTAGATGGGAAGGTACATGCGCTGCTCCGCTATCGACTTGGTCTTGGCGAAGTCGCTGGCCGCCCCGCCCCGTGCCCTTCATGTGGTCCGCGAACTTCACATTGTCCTTGTAGTCCACCTCGCCCTCGTCGTTGACTTTTGACGTGTCCGCATCCACCTGTCAGCATGAGGGCTTGGGTTTAAGGTGAGGGCTGAAGGCACTGCCTGGCCGCCCCTCCCGTGCCCTTCATGTGGTCCGCGAACTTCACATTGCCCTTGTAGTCCACTTCAGAAAGGTGGATGCGGACACGTCAAAGGTGAACGAGGAGGGATTAGGGTTAGGAAGGTTGCAAGCTGCAAGCCTCACAATCTCCACCTCACGCTCGTTTGTTACCTTAGACACGTGTGGGCACAGACCATGCTCCAGACCCAAGGCACGATGCGCCATGCAGAGTATTCAGCTCACACCACCGCGCGAACAAGGGAAAAAAACGTGTGATACACACGAGTGTAGCACTAGCAACCGCCACGCCATTCCACACACACACAAACCACAATAAACCACACCACACCACAATAAACCACACCACACCACAATAAACCACACCACACCACAATAAACCACACCACACCACACACACCACAAGGCCAAGGAGCTCCTTTGAAGCAGCAGGACCAAGGAGTAACAGCAATACAGCAGCAGCAGGAATTGAGCAAAACAGCGATACAGCAGTGATTGGGCTTTTAACAGAAGCTCTCTCCCTTCTCCTTCCACCCACCACCCCCTCCCCTCGCATGCTTACATCAGCCGCAGATTTCTTCACGCCCAAAATGTTCCCCAGCTTGCTCCCGGTCAGCTCCCAGAACTTCTGCCTGCTCTTGTTCTGCTGCTGCTTCTCCCGAATCTGCGGGTGGGCAAAAGGGGGATGCAGGAAGGGAGAACGAGAAAAGAAGAGAGCACGATAACAGCCTCTCCATAGGGAGCATAGGTTGGCGTATCCCGCTCCACCACATCCATCGGACAGCCTGGGGCCAACAGACACAAAATTCAACGAGCCTGTTGCGCCCACCCCTCAAGAGACGTATGGTAACACGCCCAGCCCAACGGAGCATTGGATATTCGCATGAAGATTCGTTTGCTCAACCAGCAGATGGTCTATGGTCCGCTTGAGCGCCTGGCATACCTCATGAGCGGCTGGCATACCTCTCTGACACGCGAAAGCCCTTCCTTGCATTGCAATGCCCCAGGTGGGATCTATTAGGAACGTCGCGGGCTAAATACGACTAGCACACCTCATTAACGCTCACCCCATGCAGAATCATAGCTCTCTGACGACTGCAGAGCCCTTCCTAGCGAAAATCGCCATGTCAGTGGTGGGGTTCTTGAGCGGCATCACTGGGTCCTTGTCAATAAGACCAGCACGAAAGCTAGCACCCACATACCTCTCTGACAAGCGCTGAACCCTTCCTGGCGATGATGGCCATGTCGGACGTGGGTCCTTGAGCGGCATCACCGGCTCCTGCTGCTTCGTGAACACTATGCGCCCGTCCAGGAAGGGGGGCTTCGTATCTGGAGGGTCCAGAGGGTTCGGAAAGGGGAGAAGAGGAGACAGATGAGCGTGATGACACTTGGTGGCCGACCTCTCTCCCCCCCTCCCAACCCTGCCTGAACGCATGAGCTGCCGGCCTCTTCCCCCCTTTTGCAAGCCTGCATGTATCTCCCACCTCTTCACTCAATGTGCCTGCCTGATACCCGCCCTCCGTCGCACCACGGCCGAGCACATGAACTGCCGGTCCTCCCAGGTGGCCGGGTCACTGTTGCAGCCCCACGTATCCCCCACCAGACCAACCTACCAACTCACCATGTACCAGCAGCAAGACTCGGTTCTCGTCCTCATCATCAATATCCGTGGACAGCTCTGCAGCGTTGCGCACCACGCCCGACCGCATGAGCTGGCGGTCCTCCCAGGTGGCCTGGTCGGCAGACAGCTGCGTCAACCTCTTGCTGGCGGCCAACGACATGGCGGACCCGTCGGACCGCACCATGCGCTTCTGCAGCTGCGCCGCCTGCTTCTGCTTAGCCTGCTTCTTCTCCTCCAACGCCTGCTCGTCCCCAAACCCCCAAAGGGGTTGGAACCCTCGCCCGAGTCAAACACACTGCCTGCCTCCTCAGAATCATACCTGGGGAGGAGGGGGGAGGGGAGAGGGCATGGATGGACCCTTGTCTGTGGGGAAACCCTGACACCCCTCACACTACTCGCCACTAGCGGTTATGCCTGCCACTCAGCCTCCTCCACCTCTCTCTGCATGCCCCCATCCTCCTCCCCCCTCCGTTTCAGCCGTGCTCTCACTGTTGCCTCCCTCCTGGGCCCCATACCCTGACTAATCCTGACCAAACCCCGGCCTCAAAACCCTGACCCCACACCCTGACCACCCAAAACCCCGACCCCGAACCCTGACCCCCAAACCCTAACCCCCAAACCCTGACCCCCAAAACCCCAAAACCCTAGCAGCCCTGGACTCACCAGGAGCGGTCGGCCTGCCGCTCAGCCTCCTCCATCTCCCGCCGCATGCCCTCATCCTCTGCTCCCCCAGCACCTCCCCCTCCCCGCCCCTCTCTCCGCACGGTAGTCTGTGTCCCACTCGCTCTCCAGCTGGGATGGCGCCTGGGGGCGTGCAAGGTGAGGAGAGGGGCAAAGGGGGGGCAGAGGAAAGGGCAGGGAGCACAAGGTGAGCGACAGAAGCAGAGGACTAAGCCCGTCCCCCTCTTTGGGCGGTAGTAGTCTGTGTCCCACTCGCTCTGCTGCTGGGATGGCGCCTGGGGCGGCGCAAGGGGAGAAGGGGAAAGGGATGGGGGGGTGGTGGGGGGTGGGGGAAAAGGAACAGTGGAACAAAGAAATTGAAGGGGGCTACAAGACAGGGGAGCAGGACGACTATTGAGAGCTCTCAAAAACCAAGAGCAGCAGGATATGAGCCTAGGATCACGACGGGCAGCAGGATATGAGCGGAGGATGACGACGGGCAGCAGGATATGAGCGGAGGATGACAACGGGCAGCAGGATATGAGTGGAGGATGACGACGGGCAGCAGGATATGAGCGGAGGATGACGACGGGCAGCAGGAGGGAGGGGAAGAGAGGAACCATGAGACGGAGAAGAGAAGGCAGGCAGTCTGCCGGGTGGCAAGCTGTGGAGTGGAGTGGATTCAAAAGGCAACAGGGCGGGGCGGGGCGGGGCGGGGCATGCCAAGAAGTGGAAAGGGCAGACAAGAGAGGAGTGGCAGAGGGACAACAACAGTAAACGGACGTTCCAAGCCCACCCCTTGCACGTCACAATCCGATGATACCTATTCCCACCTCATCACTAACACCCCCTTGCAAAATTCCTGACTGTTCCACCTGGCATCCCCCCGCTGTGGCTTGGTGAATCGGCGCATGCTGGCAACACCTTCCGAAGCTGAGGAGTCGGCTCGGAGCCAAAGCTTCCATCTCTCCCCCGCCACAACTTCTTCTCTACTCCTTGACTGTCTCACCTGGCCTCCCACTGTGCTTCGGCGAGTGCTAGCAACGCCCTCCGAAGCTGCAGAGTCGGCTCGGAACCGAAGCTTGTGCGACCGGCGAGCCGCCCCCCATCTGCTTGCACGCTTCCCTCCCTCTCCTCCCGTCCCGACCCTGCGAGACAGGTGTGGCCGAGCCTGCCCTCACAGGCACGGGGGACGGGGACGGGAGATCCCACACAGACCCTGGCAGGTGGGAAGTCAGGTGGTGAACAGGCAGGGGAGGAAGGGAAGGGGGGACGGGGACGAGGAAAAGGGTGGGGGGGTGGGGGACGGGAGGGCGGTGAAGTTTAGAGTAGACACCACAGGGTTCGAACCCTAGCACTCAAGGGCAGGGCTGGAAGACTCAAGCTACCAACGTGTGCAAAAGACACAGAACAATGGTCGATGCTGAATTTAGAGACTGCAAACGTGATTGTCCAGACCAGACGGACAACTAAAGAGACTATGGAAGTGACAGAGGAAGAAACGTCCGGCGAAACAGCGAGAGAGAGAGATCCAAGCACACTCACCACCAACAGAAGGCGTGCTGCCGCCTCCCCCGCCATCCCAGGGCGACAGCAGGCGCGAGTCAGACGGCGAGGGCGGCACAAAGGAGGGCTCGCGGCGGTACGGCGCGGGGAGGGGGCGGGGGAGGGGGTCCAGCGGGGGAGGGGGAGGGCGAAGGCATGTCCCACTTGGACCCCTGCGCGGCGTGCTGCCCTGTCCCTGTTGTCTCTGCCTGGCGTGCCGTCTGAATCCCTGCGAGGAGTATATGTGTCCCTGTCCCTGCGAGGGGTGGCGTCTTCGTCCCAGCGAGACCTGGAGCCTGGAGAGGTGGGCGGACGGAGCGGGCAGTGAAAAGGGGTGAGGGGGAGAGGGGTGAGATTTTTGGGCACGTACGTACTGACAGTAGGCTGTAGCTTGCTTGCGTGCACAAGCAGATTCCACACGCGTTTGCAAGGTCAACCCAGGTCGCGCTCCTAAGGAAAGCCAGCCAGCTCACCATGTCTAGGCGATCTCCTGTCGTAGTCCCTGCCTCTGTCCCTGCGTCCATCGGAATCGCGATCCCTGCCCCTTCTCTCCTCATCCCTCTCTCTCCCCCTCTCCCTGTCGCCATCCCCATCTCTCCCCCCTGCTGTCGTCCCTCGAGTCCCACCTGCTGCCCCTTCTCCCTCTATCTCCCCCCCCCTCCCTCTGCCCCTGACCCTGCAGCCGTGAATGATGCGGGAAGCGGCAACAAGTGGGAGGAAGAGCAGGGACGAACGGAGCAGGGAGGAGCGGAGCACAGGGGCAGGGAGGAAGACGATGGATTGGGGGGCTTTCAGGTGCAGAAAACAAAACGATGGAGGCGGTGACAGCATTCAATGCAGGAAGAAAAAGAGCAAGGTGCATGTGACGCAGGGTTACCAGGCTACCAGCATTCTCCCATATGCCTATGCTACCATACGAAACATCTAAATTGAATGGAAAGCTAAAAGCTCAGAGTTTCTCCTCCCATGACACACCTTCTCCGCTGGTAATCAAACTGGCAGAACCTGCCCTGTCAGCAGCACCGTTTGCCACATCTGCAGAATCCACTCGGGTTCTCTTAGCGACGCGGCTTGCCTCATCTCCCTGCTGGAAGGAGGGAGGGGAGGAGGAAGCAAGGGGGTTTCTATGATATTGTAAGGCACGGTTCGATAGTTGAACCAAAGCTTGCTCGCTCGACAGTGCACGTACTCACATATGGAGGCACATGCCTCCACGTGCCTGGACGTACCTTGATTGCTCCAACGGCTGTGCCTCCTCGTGGGTCTCGGTCACAAGGTGAGTCCTGCACCCCCGGTGAGGCACCGATAGGTCTGGAGGGGGCAAAACACGTGCGTGGGTGGAAGGCATGGGGGTGAGAAATGGAACAGTCAGGTGGGCGCATTAGGCCTGGTCAGATGACATTAGGGCTGCTGGCCAGGCGGGCATTAGGGTTAGCCAGACATGGTGGTGCCTCACGTGTGACTGTCGACACGTGGGTGGGGGTGTCATCGCTCCTCGCACGCGATACCGCCGCCTCTCCTTGCCACCTCCTCCACCGCTCCTTTCCCCCCCACTCCCTTCCCCCCCTCCTCCTCCCTCTCCTCTCCCCTCCCCATCTTCCCCTTCAGCGACCCACTTTGCGCCTCCCCTTCCTTCCCCTCAGCCCCCCCCGGTCCCCTTCGTCGTCCCCTCTTCTGCGAATCTGGCCGCTGCTACAGTAACCGGCTGACGTGGCTTTTCAGGGATTCCCGCAGCTGCGCGCTTGGCTCGGGCGAGCGCGTCCAGGCCTGGGGATTGCCGAGGGGGAGTTAAGAGAGGAGAGACGGATTATACAGAGATGTCGAAAGAGGCTGCCGAGTACACACGCCGATGAATTACGAAACAACTACTACTGCGCCCATTACGCGGCGAACCACCACGCTCCAACCGGAAGCCCTCGTGAATCGTGATTGCCCGAAGGCCACACGGCCACTCACCCAGAACCGACTTTCGCTCGGCCGGCGCCTTGAAGAGCAAGCGCTCTCCTCCAGCCCCCTGCCGCCTGCAAACCCCCTTCTGCACCCCGCCTTGCAGCCCGCCCCCTTGCAACCCTCCCACGGACTTATCCCCTTCACCGGTGCCGGCAGAGCCATTACGACCGCCTTCCGACCCTTCCAGCCGATCCACGTGGCCGGAAAACCCTGATATCATGGCCAAAATTCTCGCGTTTCCAAAGAGTATCTCGACAGAATGGTTCCTCCGCGACGCGACGCCCAACAGACCGTGTCGCTGACAGCTATCAGTAAAGCGTGAAAACGTCACCTGGAAGTGAAGAAAGAGAAGCAATTCCAATGGAAGTCTACTCCTGTAGAAGGAAACCTAAATGATTGAGAATACACTGCGCGAAACCGAGACTCGAAGCGATCCTAAGGGCGTGCCATAAGCGTTTGCTTTAGATAACCTTTTTCAAATAACCCGCACCTTACTCAACCGTAGTGAACGCTATGTCACGCCATAAGGACGCGCTACATTGGGTCCCCTTCTCTGATCATTTTCCAATCGTGGCACTGTAGAAACCTGGTACGGCGGATATTCTTAGAACTGAAGAATTGATGAATAGAGAGAGAGTACAAGGGTATATACCTAAGAGTATTGTACCCTCTAAGAGGCCCTATACAGTCTATGCAAACATAACTAATACACATGTTTGACACACCCCCTAGACTGCATAGGGGAATGTCCTGAACAAGCAGCTCAAGGCGGCACTACTAGTCCAACCTCTGAGACAAGGGTCTAAAAGACCAGTCAGAAGGAGTACAGACAAGGCAAGAACAAGATCAGGGCGGCACTACTAGTCCAGCCACTGGTAGAGGACACAAGTCCAGTCTGAGTATACATATAAAAGGGTAGTACAAAGTCAAGGCCCTAGCAAGTGAGAGGCTACAGGGACTAGACCAAGCTGTACGCAGTGCCGCTGATGATCTTTAGGCGCAAGCGCCTTCGTAAAGATATCAGCTGTGTTGGCATCTGAGGCCAAGTGTACTACGCGAGCCTGGCGTCGCTGCTGTAGCTCGCGCAGGAGGAAGTATCGCAGCTGAATATGCTTCACTCTGCCCTCGAGTCGAGGCTCCTGACACAGGAGGATCATGGCCCTGTTGTCAGCGAACAGGACCGGGGCAGAGCTAGGCCGTTCACCTAAGTCAGTGAGCAAGAAGGTCAGCCAGCGGAGCTCCTGTGCCGCCATGGCACCAGCGTAGATCTCAGCCTCACAGCTGGACTGGGCAACAGACGAGGAGCGGGTAGCTCTCCACGAGACGGCACCTGAGCCAAGGCTGAAGCAGTAGCCCTGGGTAGACCTGAGTGTCTCGGCGTCGTCTGCCCACGAAGCGTCGGTGTGTCCAGTAAGGACCACTGGCCTGCGTCCTCCTAGCACTAACCCCATGCCCGATGTACTAGCAAGATAACGCAAAAACCTCTTAACGGCAGACCAGTGCTGCGGTCGGTGTCTGTCTGTGGCCACAAAGCGAGCCCGGATGCTGAGAGGGTATGCGAGATCTGGGCGAGTGCAAGTCATCAGGTACATGAGGCAACCCACCAGCTCTGCGTAGGGGCCGCTGGGCTCAACCGACTCCTCAGACACTGGAGCGGAGAGTCTGTGGTCTACAGGCAGAGGGGTGGGCTGTGCAGAGGAGAAGTGAAGGCTGAACCTCTGAAGGACCTGGCGCACCAAGTGTGACTGAGTCAGGGTGATGGTGCGCGCTGCTCTGTCCCTGGAGATCTGCAAGCCAAGGTAACAGCGCAGTTCTCCAAGGTCAGTGCACGTGTGTCTCTTCAGCAGCTCTGCCTTCACGGAGGCCAGTGCGTCCCTGTCTGCTGTGGCAAAGACCAGGTCGTAAACAAGGATGTAGAACGGAGTCTGGCCAGCACGAACGAAGAGTGAGGGGTCTGCGGAAGACGGAAAGAACTGCAGGTCAACAAGCGTAGCACAGAGAGTGTCGTGCCACTCACGGGGAGCCTGGCGCAGGCCGTAGATGGGGCGCCGCAGGAGCCACTGGGTCCCAGGAAGGAAGGTGCCAGTAAAGCCCTGAGGGCGACGCAAGTAGACCTGCTCGTGTAGGCTGCCGTGAAGGAAGGCAGTGGAGAAGTCGAGGGAGTGAAGCTCGTAGTCGCGCTGAGCAGCTAGGTGTAGCAGAACCCGAAGAGTAGTCATCTTCGGGGTAGGAGCGAAGGTCTGGAAGAAGTCCACCCCCTCACGCTGACTGAAGCCTCTAGCCACGTAGCGCGCCTTGAACACAGGCGGCTCTCCAGGAGGGCGCTTCACCTTGAAGAGCCAGCGGCCATCGACTACGTTCACCCCAGGCGGGGGAACTGCGTCGACGAAGGTGCCGGTGGATCTCCAAGATGCCATCTCCTGCTCCATGGCAGCTATCCACTGCGAGGCCCAAGGTCCCAAGGTCGCCTCAGCGTAAGTGCGAGGGGTCGGGATGTCGAAAGCGTCTGGGTCACCCTCAGGGACAAGCAGCATGGAACAGAGATGGGGAGCAGCCTCGGACAGGAAAGCAAGCTCGAACTGGCGGTTCTCTAGGACGTCACTGCCAAGGGCAGGAGCACCCCCGACAGACGGAGGACAGGCAGGGTCAGAGACCAGAGCTGTGGCGTAGTCAAGGCGGCGGGTAGAGGCGAAGTCAGCGACAGCAGCTACAAGGGCGTCAAGGCACGAGACCAGAACAGACGGGTCGGTAACGAGAGAGGCAAGGACCCGGGGAACAAGAGGACGAGCAGCACGAAGGTAGTCAGACAGCGGGGGGGGTGCAACAACAAGGGAGGACGGAGGAGGCGACGGCAGAAGGGGAGGACGAGACGCGTGGGAACGAAGCAACATAGGGTGGGAGCGCAAGACAGGCGAGGTAGAACAAGCACGGGAGGGACGGTGAGACCAGACGTGCGACGGAGGAGTCGGGTCAGGAGACAGGGGAGGGGAGACAGGAGGTGAACGAGGGGGAAGACGGGCCGGGGACGAGTCCAGCGGAGGGAACACAGGGCCGTAGACGGGAAGAGGAGGAGACGGTCGGAGAGGAACAGCCGCAGGGTCAGGGGACGGAAGGCCGAGCAGGCGAAGGGCTGACACCGGCGGGGACTGCTGCTGCGGCGGCACAACAACGACACCTGGACCGCAAGTTGCTCCTCGGCTACCACCGACACACTCCACACTAGCACCCCCAGAGGGACCACCCCCAGGGCGACCAGGACGAGCACCCCCAGAGTCAGCGAACGGGTGCTGGGACGGTGGCGGCGGCTGCGGCGGCGGCGGCAGCGACAACGACAGCTGCAACGGCGGCAGGGGCGGTGGAGGAGGGGACTGGGGAGGGGACGCTGGGGGAGGGGCGGCCAGCGAGGACTGCGCAGCAGGGCCTCAAGAGTCCGAAGACTCCTCAACCGGGTCTACCGACGGAAGGGGGGTGACGTGGGACACACCAGAGGGGGCAGGACGGGTAGGAGGAGGAGGAGGGGCAGGGACTACCGGGGAAGGAGTGACCAGGAACAGGGGGGGGGGTAACCGGGGGACCGCGGTGGGGGAAGCGACGGTAGTAGGAGACGGACTCGTCAAATGTGACGTCGCGAGAGTGAAAGAAGCGGTGAGACGGCGGGTGGTAAAAGTGCCAGTCGGACGCGTCAAGGGGAAAACCAAGGAAGACGCAGGGAAGGGTGCGGGCAGTAAGCTTGTCCGTGCCGGAGGCACGGACGTGAGCAAGGCAGCCCCAGACGTGGAACGCAGACGCGTCACCAGGAGACCCAGTCCAAAGACGGGTCGGCGAAACCTGCGGCTGCTGAGGGTGCGGCCACAAGTTAAGCTGGAGAGAAGCGTAGCGCACAGCGAACGACCACAGAAAATGGGGTGCACCGGCATGGATCATGGAGGTGCGAGCCACCTCCATGACCAAACCGATGCGTCGCTCAGTGACCCCATTCTGCTGTGGGGAGTCCGGTAGGGTGAACGTCTGGGTGATGCCCTCCGCACGACAAAAGCGACCAAGGACACCTGAGGCAAACTCGCCACCACGGTCGGAGTGAAGACGCAAGACAGGGAGACCGCGGTGGACACGCGCAGAGACAAGCCAGGGGATGAGAGCGCCAGGCACATCGGCCTTGCGCTCCAGGCGAAAGACTGTGGTGTAACGAGTGAAGTCGTCGACAAGCACAAGGAAGTAGCGCTCTCGACGCGGCCCAGGGACGGGGGCGGGGCCCCAGACGTCCAGGTGCAGGGTCTGCAGCGGCGCGGCGGTAGGGGGAAACGAGGAGGAGTGAGGGGCACGGCGAAGCCGACCCTCAACACAAGGCGTGCAAGGTGGGGCTGGGGAGGAGGGAAACGCGGGGAGAGAACCTGGGAGACCAAGGACAAGACCGTGCTGGGACATGTGACGCAGACGCGGGAGCGTCGGGTGACCTAGGCGGTGGTGCCAAAGGAGAGTCGGGTGAGTGAGGGACCGACAGGAGCAGGCAGCAGCAACCAGGGTGAGCGCTCCAGTCGGGGGGGTCACGGTGTCCAGAGTGAACAGGCCGGACACCGGGTCCCGGGGGAACGTGGACAGGGGGGCACCAGTGGCGGCCTCGGTACAGACAACATACCGCTCGTGACCAGGGAACGTAGTGGTGACGCCAAGGTCCTGGAGGCAGCCGACACCAACTAAGTTCCTAGAGAACGAGGGGATATGCAGATCTGTGAGAGTGCCCGAAGGAACCGCCGGACAGGGAAGGGTGGTGGAACTACGGGCGACTACCGGACCGCCGGAGGGGTCAGCAAAAGAAACGGTAGCAGAAACAGGAAGCGGCGTCAGGGTGGTGAAGTCGCGGAAGAAACACCGGGATGCGCCAGAGTCCAGGGTGAAGGAAAGCGAAGCAGAGGCGTCTGGCGACGGAACGGCGGCGGAAGCACCAAGACTACACAAAGCAGGGGATCCTACGCCTGACGCAGCGGGGGAGGCTAAGCTAGGCACACCTACACTAGCCGACAGTGAGTAATAAGCGGGAAGCACACTAGAGTGATCAGCATACATCACATGCAGAGCAGAAACAATGGCATCCATGTCCATGTCAAAAATCTGAATCTTACGACTAAGCAAACTGTGCCAGTCCGGAAGGTCTGGCGACGGGCCGAAGCGCTGACGAAAGAGGTCGTCCAGGCGACGAAAACAGCGGGGAGTAGAGTGACCGATCTTACCGCAAACGAAGCCGCGGCGAGGACCGGTCTGGATCTGGTACTGACAACGCACGCCTCCATAGCCACCACTCGGCACACCACCACGCGCCCGGCCACCGCCAGCGCCGGGCCACCCGGGCGGGAGGACACTCGTCTGCCGCGTCTGCGACGGCTGCTGCGGCTGCTGCGAAGGCTGCGACTGCGGCGGCTGCTGCGGCTGCTGCAACTGCAGGGGCGGCGGCTCAGCTGGACTAGGCAGGGTCCCCTCGTCCGCTCCAGCACCAGACGACCCGACTCCACCACCACCCCCTCCCGCACCCCCGCCTCCTCCGCCGCGCCCAACTTTGGGGCGGCGGCCCTTCCCCGAACGAAACTGCGCTGCAGCAGCGGTCTCAGCCACTGCGGCAAAGCCGTCGGAGAAGGTACACTGAGCAGGGGCACAACCCTGAAAGATAGGGACTGGCACGGTACCGCTCGCCTGGGCGATGGAGCTGTGGCGGGTCTCAATCACAGTCAGGGTGTCTGCAAAGTCAGTGAGGGTGAGGTCTGCGGGGTGAATGCTAAGGAAGTGGTCGCGGGCGACAGCAAGGCGGTTAGGGAGGTGGGTGGCAAGCAGGTAAAGGGTAGAGGTAATGGGCGGCTAATGGGCTCTAAGCTGTGCGTCAGTGCAGGCAGCGCGCCAGGTCTCATCTATCGAGCGCAGGTGGGCAGCGAGGTCAGAGACAGTGGGGAAAGATGCAAGGTCAGGAAAGAGCATCGGAAGGATCAGGCGACCCACCGAGGCAGCCGGAGGGGTTGAATAGCGCTTGATGACAGCATCTAAGTATGCTTGAGCAGTAGTGATGGACCTAAAGCGAGGGCGCTCGGACGGGGGAAGGGCGTTGCTAATGGCAAGCTGGGCGACAGCATCGCGAGAAAGCCAGACAGAGTGCGTACGGGCAGTGGCAGAAGTAGACTTGCGCTAAGTGGGTGTGGAGTCAGCGGGCAGAATAGCAGGGGGGTCTGGGCAGGGGAGCGTACCGTCAAGGTGTGCGAAAAGCGGTTCACCATCCTGCCGCTGGCCAGTGAGTTGGCGCCGGAGGTCGGCAAGCCACGCCTCGAACTCAAGAGGTTGGCCTTCAGCGACGAAGCGAAGCTCCACCGCCATCAGGTGCAGTGCAGAACGGGACAGTACGGTGCAGTGAGGTGCAGGGCAAAGCAGAGCAGTGCAAGACGGTGCAGTGCGGGGCAGGGCAGTGCAGTGCGGTGCGGGGCGGTGCAGGGCGGTGCAGTGCGGTGCAGGGCAGTGCAGTGCGGAGCAGGACGGTGTAGGGAGGGGGGGGGGGGGAGCACCGTACCAGTGAGGATGAAGGGGCCGGGGCAGGGATGAGCGCAGGGGCCGGGCCGGTACAGCGGGGCCCGGGCGGGTGCGACGGGGCCGGGCCAGTGCGACAGGGCCGGGCGAGGGCGATGGGGCCGGGCGGGCTCGACGGGGCTGGGCGGGTGCTACAGGGCCGGGCGGGTGCGACGGCTCCGGGCCGGTGCGACGGGGCCGGATGGGTGCGACGGGGCCGGGCGGCGGTGACGGGGCCGGGCAGGGTGCGACGGGGCCGGGCGGGTGCGACGGGGCCGGGCAGGTGCGACGGGGCCAGGCTTGTGCGACGGGGCCGGGCGGGCGCGACGGGGCCTGACGGGTGCGACGGGGCCGGGCGGCGGCGACGGGGCCGGGCAGGGTGCGACGGGGTCGGGCGGGTGCGACGGGGCCGGGTAGGTGCGACGGGGCCAGGCGGGTGCGACGGGGCCGGGCGGGCGCGACGGGGCTGGACAGGGGGGCAACGGGGCCTGCAGGCGTGGCGGGGCCCAGGAGGGGCGCTACGGGGCCCAGGAGGGGCGCTACAGGGCGAGGGGCGTAGCGGGGCCCTGGAGGGTCGCGACGGGGCTAGGGGGTCTCGACGGGGCCCAGGAGGGGCGCGGCAGGGCTAGGGGCACGACGGGGCCCAGGGGGGTCGCGACGGGGCTAGGGGGTCGCGACGGGGCCCAGGAGGGGCGCGGCAGGGCTAGGGGCACGACGGGGCCCAGGGGGGTCGCGACGGGGCTAGGGGGTCGCGACGGGGTCTAGGAGGGGCGCGGCAGGGCCTAGCTAGAGGACGAGCGGAAGCGTTAGGTGGGGGATCCTAACCTACGCGTGATACCATATCAGAATGAGAGAAGTGAATGATGAGTAGTGGGAGAGTACAGATAGATATACCTAAGTATTGTACCCTCTAAGAGGTGACCCTATACAGTCTATGCAAACATAACTAATACACATGTTTGACACACTGAGCTCTACTGACTCCTCAAGAACTGGAGCAGAGAGTCTGTGATCTACTAGCAGAGGTGTGGGCTGTGCGGAGGAGAACTGAAAAACAGTAGATACATTACGAAAATTGGGCTACAGATGAATAATATGGAACAAAACGCTTCAGAATAGTGTTCAAGCACAAACGAACAACGAAAAGAACCGATTGAAACCGCGTGGCACGATTTTGAAACAGTGTCGCAGACTCTGATTCAGAAAGAATATCTTAAAGCACACTTATATTTATAATACACATATGTAAATGAATGCCAACCATGTAAGTATTTTTAATTATATTAGATGCGCTGACATTGTTTGTAATTTTCACTTATATGAGATACACTATTGATTGACTATTTCACATAGTATGGATATGGAACTATTATTATACGTTTACATATACTTATTCATTAGAGCTTGATAATTAGCTGAAGCATAAGCATTCTACAATAGTTATATACTTATATATGAAAAGGCTACGCAACCCTAAGACGATTGCATCGTCTTTTGGTTTTTCTGCATCTGTTTGTACCATGTTTTGTAATACTATCATATCATCTTGAAACAGCTATATACAGGTCAGCACCTTCAGATATTTATGTAGCCTAGTTCTTTTGTTTTCAATTTGAACAACTTTATTGAACGCTGTCCACTTCCTGGTTTTCTCGAAGTGGCAGGGCGATAACTTTGAGTTTGTACCGGACCCCTCACCAGCGAGGTAGTTCAAATTCCCAAACTCGACTTTACCCACTCCCCCACCTGCGCGCGAAGCATTTTCTGTGGATACAGAGCCCGCTCATTCCGCGCGTTTCCCGCCTTTTCCTCTCGAGGAAATCGCGCGCTTTGACGAAAATCAAGAATTGTTTAATTGGTCGACCCTTTTGCGCGCGATGTCTGGCATGCCCCCGTTACCCAAAACGGTCGACCCCCCCCCCCCCCCCCCCACCTCCCCAACTGTACCCGTTTTCGTTTGGATGTGCAGAATATTGGAAATGTAGTTTTGGGTCGCTGTGAAAACATTTGCCCGATCCCAATTTAGTTGATGCGCGAACATGCTTTTTAAAATCTGACAAAAATCGAAGCGCAAGTGTCGGGGCTTACGTCTGGTTTTTGTGGCACCCGTCAGATCCGGGTATCTGGCCAAAGCTACCCTTCAGAATCCGTGTTCAGCACTCTGTTCTGTCAAAATTCACCCGTCAAATCCGGGTTTCACAGCCAGTTCTGCCAAAAAATTCCCGTCAGAATCCGGGTTCAAAACCTGTTTTTGGAAAAGTTCTCCGTCGGAATCCGAGTTCAGCGAAAACCTTACTCTCTATTTTTTCGAATGTGCCGTCGTTGTTTGTCGTATATCTCCTTCTTGGACCCTACACATGCTGCCCAGGCCAGTTGCCCTGAAAAAACGTAGTGGCAACTGAACCCAACACGAAAACGGGTACAGTCGAGGGGGTCGACCGTTTTGGGTATCCGGCGCATGCCACACTTCGCGCGCAACAAGGGTCGACCGTCTCAAAAGATTCTTGATTCTCGTCGAGGCGCGCGATCTCCTCTTTCCTCTCCCTCCCTGTGTGGGTGTGCTTGCAAGCTCATTCCACTCCCACCCCACCATTCGTCACCATCACTCCTCCACTTCTGTACTTCCCTCCCTCCGTCTCGCCCCGCCTGCAACCACCACTTGGCATCTTGAATTGTAGGGGCATGTTTCCGTATTCTGTATTTCTATCTGAAGTCGCACCGTGAAAATATCCGTTAGAGTTCTCCTCCATACGACTTACAGTATTTTGTGGGTGTCTTTTCTCATTTTCTCTCCTTCTCGAATCCTCCTGATGCGCCTCAACGCACCTCTGTCGACGGCGCTTAGCTCCAGCTTCACGGCTTCCCTCGCCGCTCACCTGCGCGGCACCTCCCGCGGTCTCGCTGCCCCGTGCTCCGCGCACGCCCTCTCCTCTTCCGCCTCGCTCTTCCCCGCAATGGCTGCGCGCAAGCCTCGCCAAGCAACGCTTGCGGCGTTCTTCTCCGCGCCGAAGCGGATGCGCGCGAACGGCACGTCCCCGCCACGGCGGGAGAATCCGCCCGCGCCAGCTCCGCCGTCTCTTTCCGCGGACGCGAATCTTGCGCGTGTCCCGGACAAAAACGATTGCGCAGACCCGAGTAATGCCGGGCCGACACAACAGGGAACACCTGCCGACAACGAGAAAATACTCAGCAGCTCCAGAAACAACCCAGCCCGAAAAAATCCGGCCCAGTCGCCCCCGCCGACGTCTCCCCTCGGCGCTCGCCCCCAGCCTTCCATCCCCGCCGCGGGCACTCAGGCGGGGCAGTTTCCCCCGCTGCGCTCCCTGCTGCGCGAGCCGTCGTGGGCGGCAGCGCTTGGACGGGAGTTCGAGGAGCCGTACATGCGGCAGCTCCAGACGTTTTTGGACGCGGAAGTTTCGCGGAACGAACGGGTGTTCCCTCCTGCGGCGTCGGTGTTCGAGGCGCTGAATCGGTGTCCAATGGAGAGAGCGAGGGTCGTGATTATAGGGCAGGTGAGGTAGGCGGTGACTATAGGGAAGGTGCGGCGGTGACTACAGGGCAGGTGAGGCTGTGACTATAGGGCAGGTGAGGCTATCAGTTTGTAATTGATTTTGGCAGGCACTCATACCCCGCCCTGCGTCCTTCTAGACCCCCCTCATTCCCCCACTGCTCCCACGTCTCCCCCCAACCAACCCCACTCCCTTCCCCTTCCCTCCTCCCCCCTCCCCCCCCTTTCTCCCCATCTCCTCTCCCCCCACCTCCCCCCAAGCAGGACCCGTACCACGGGCCGGGGCAGGCCGTGGGGCTGAGCTTCTCCGTGCCACGTGGCGTGCCCCTGCCGTCGTCCCTGCAGAACGTGTTCAAGGAGATGCGCAGCGACGGCAGCATTGACGCCATGCCCTCCCATGGCTGCCTGCGCCATTGGGCAGACCAGGTGCGTTGGGTGCGCTGGGTGGGGAGGGTTTACTGGGTGTATGTGTGTGTTGAATGCAGACGGTGCGCATTGGGTGCATTTGGGCAAGATGTGGAATGGGTGCAATGTATGTTGTGGGTGCAATGTATGTTGTGGGTGCTATGTATGTTGTGGGTGCAATGTATGTTGTGGGTGCAATGTATGTTGTGGGTGCAATGTACACTAGACTAGAATAAACCAGGTTTACTTGTCGAGTGTGAGCAGTTAAATCTCTTTCTTCCTCCCTCTCCTCCTCCTCTCCCTCTCTCTCTTTCTCTTGTTCTAATCCGTGTTTCTTCACTTGTGTGTTTTCCTCTCAGGGAATCCTTCTCCTTAACACAGTGTTGACCGGTGAGTGTGGCCACAGGATGCGCTGCATTCGTCCCATCCTTTTCACAATGCGTCTTCATTTGAAATGGTCCAATCCCCTTCTCCACTTCCTAATTTCCTCCTCACCCTTTCACCACCAAGTTTCACACTCCATCACCACTTGTCTTGGCCTCTAATTTCCACTCCTTGGCATGGTTGCAGTGCGAGCCCACCAGGCCAACTCACATGCCAAGAAGGGATGGGAGCAATTCACCGACGCCGCTATTCGCGCCCTTGCCTCCCAGCGACCCAAACCCAAATCCTCTTCCTCCTCCTCATCTTCCTCTCCCCCTCTCATCTTCCTCCTGTGGGGTAATCATGCCAAGACCAAGGCAAAGTGAGTAAGCTTTGTGTGGGAGCGTTGTTTTGGATCCGTTACAGTCTCCTTGCTTCCCTGAATCATCGAGTTCCTCCTGCAGCCTGCTCTGCTCCATGGCAAAGTAACACTGCCACCCGTTTCATGGCATCGGCATCATAAAAAACATCCTGTAATCTTTATCATGCGATCCTTTCGTAACTCTGTCTCCTACCAGGGTCATTCCCGCAGGCTCAAATGTTGTGTTGCTATCTTCAGCGCACCCATCGGGTCTCAGTGCTCACAGGGGCTTCTTTGGCTCAGCGTAAGCCCTCCACTCCTGTTTACCGCTTGTCCGTTCAGTCTAGCAGCACCAAAGACAACATCTGAGGCCCTGTCTTTCAATGCAATTGCTGTTGCCCTTCTCATTGTGTCTCTCGTTCGGTGCCCCTTACAAGAGAACCGTTTTTTCCATGTGTTGAAAATTTCCAGGCACTTTTCCAAGGTTAACAGCATTCTTAGGTCACATGGACAATCACCTATCCAATGGTCGACTGAGTGATATTTGCATTACAAATGCTTTTATATATTTTGACCGCTTAGCAAAAGATGCTCGCTAAGAAAAGGAATAGGCGAGATGGAAGAAAATGATGTGCAGTGTTGTGTATCAATTAGAGATCATATGGTCAAAAGTAGATGCTGAGTGTGTGAGGTGAATCATTTTGACATGGCAAATAGGTGCGTTTTTCTTCTATTCATTTCCAACAGCATGTAATAAGTGAGAAGTGCTGTGATATAATTGATACTTAGCATTTTTGTAAGTCGATGAAGTGTAGTTAGTGTCGAATCGTGCTGTAGAAGATAAACCGTATGATGACGTCAGCAAATAGCGCTCGTCATAGGACAGTCGTTTCAGTCACGCGAACAGTCACAACTCTTCATTATCATCTAGGGCGCATAGCGCGATAGTGACGAACAGGTACATTAGCGAATAGGTACTTTTCCTAGAACTATGAACTCTTGTTAGGTCTTTCCATTATTACCTTTGATTATTCACAAGTTCACGTACTCAGGTTATTCAACCTTGATTTTTACATTTTACAAGACTTCTGCTGTCTTACTAGTCTACCATTCCAGCAAAGATCCTGGACCAACACTTGAGAATTTGCCAAGTGTTCGTGTTTATAGTTTTATACTTAGCCTATTACAACATCAGACGTTTTATTTCAATAAGATCCTCATGGAAGGGCCACAGGTGCAGAGCCTGGGGGGTTGTTGTCAACTTATACATACATTTGCACGTAGAAGTTATAGGCTAGAATAGGTGTATGTTCTTAGTGAGTACAACCCAACCCTATATCTTGCTTGCTCTCTCTTGTTTCTATTTCATTCTAGTATCCTACCTAACATGGTATCATGAGTAGGTTAGGTTCCCCCTATCAGAAATGAGAATTGAATAGAATGTAAAGTGAGAGTACACACAAGTATACCTAAGTATTGTACCCTCTAAGAGGTAACCCTATACAGTCTATACAAACATGATCAATAAACATGTTTGACACACCCCCTAGACTGCATAGGGGAATACCCTAAACAAGCAGCTCAGGGCGGCACTACTAGTCCAACCTCTGAGACAAGGGTCTGAGAGACCAGTCAGAAGGAGTACAGACAAGGCAAGAACAAGAACAGGGCGGCACTACTAGTCCAGCCACTGGGAGAGGACACAAGTCCAGTCTGAGTATACATATAAAGGACAGTACAAAGTCAAGGTCCTAGCAAGTGAGAAGCGACAGGAACTAGACCAAGCTGTACACAGTGCCGCTCATGATCTTTAGGCGCAAGCGCCTTCGTAAAGATATCAGCTGTGTTGGCACCTGAGGCCAAGTGTACTACGCGAGCCTGACGTCGCTGCTGTAGCTCAGGCAGGAGGAAGTACCGCAACTGAATGTGCTTCGCTCTGCCCTCGAGTCGAGGCTCCTGACACAGGAGGATCATGGCCCGGTTGTCAGCGAACAGGACCGGGGCAGAGCTAGGCCGCTCACCTAAGACAGTGAGCAAGAAGGTCAGCCAGCGGAGCTCCTGTGCCGCCATGGCACCAGCGTAGATCTCAGCCTCACAGCTGGACTATGCAACAGACGAGGAGCGGGTAGCTCTCCACGAGACGGCACCTGAGCCAAGGCTGAAGCAGTAGCCCTGGGTAGACCTGAGTGTCTCAGCGTCGTCTGCCCACGAAGCGTCTGTGTGTCCAGTGAGGACCACTGGCCTGCGTCCTCCAAGCACTAACCCCATGCCCGATGTACTAGCAAGATAACGCAGAACCCTCTTAGCGGCAGACCAGTGCTGCGGTCGGTGTCTGCCTGTGGCCACAAAGCGCGCCAGGATGCTGAGAGGGTATGCGAGATCTGGGCGAGTGCAAGTCATCAGGTACATGAGGCAACCCACGAGCTCTGCGTAGGGGCCACTGGGCTCTACTGACTCCTCAGGTACTGGAGCGGAGAGTCTGTGGTCTACAGGCAGAGGGGTGGGCTGTGCAGAGGAGAACTGAAGGCTGAACCTCTGAAGGACCTGGCGCACCAAGTGTGACTGAGTCAGGGTGATGGTGCGCGCAGCTCTGTCCCTGGAGATCTGCAAGCCAAGGTAACGGCGCAGTTCTCCAAGGTCAGTGCACGTGTGTCTCTTCAGCAGCTCTGCCTTCACATAGGCCAGTGCGTCCCTGTCTGCCGTGGCAAAGACCAGGTCGTCGACGTAAACAAGGATTTAGAACGGAGTCTGGCCAGCACGAACGAAGAGTGAAGGGTCTGCGGAAGACGGAAAGAACTGCAGGTCAGCAAGGGTAGCACGAAGAGTGTCGTGCCACTCACGGGGAGCCTGGCGCAGGCCGTAGACGGGGCGCCGCAGGAGCCACTGGGTCCCAGGAGGGAAGGTGCCAGTAAAGCCCGGAGGGCGACGCAGGTAGACCTGCTCGTGTAGGCTGCCCTGAAGGAAGGCAGTGGAGAAGTCGAGGGAGTGAAGCTCGTAGTCACGCTGAGCAGCTACGTGTAACAGAACCTGAAGAGTAGTCATCTTCGGAGTCGGAGCGAAAGTCTGGAAGAAGTCCACGCCCTCGCGCTGACTGAAGCCTCTAGCAACATAGCGCGCCTTGAAGACAGGCGGCTCTCCAGGAGGGCGCTTCACCTTGAAGAGCCAGCGGCCATCGACTACGTTCACCCCAGGTGGGGGAACTGCGTCGACGAAGGTGCCGGTGGATCTCCAAGATGCCATCTCCTGCTCCATGGCAGCTATCCACTGTGAGGCCCAGGGTCCCGAAGTCGCCTCAGCGTAAGTGCGAGGGGTCGGGATGTCGAAAGCGTCTGGGTCACCCTCAGGGACTAGCAGCATGGAACAGAGATGGGGAGCAGCCTCAGACAGGAAAGCAAGCTCGAACTGGCGGTCCTCCAGGACGTCACTGCCAAGGGCAGGAGCACCCCCGACAGACGGAGGACAGGCAGGGTCAGAGACCAGAGCTGTGGCGTAGTCAAGGCGACGGGTAGAGGCGAAGTCAGCAACAGCAGCGACAAGAGCGTCAAGGCACGAGACCGGAACAGACGGGTCAGTAACGAGAGAGGCAAGGACCCGAGGGATGAGAGGACGAGTGGCACGAAGGTAGTCGGACAGCGGGGGGGGCGCAACAACAAGGGAGGACGGAGGAGGCGACGGAGAAGGGGAGGACGAGACGCGTGGGAACGAAGCAACATAGGGTGGGAGCGCAAGACAGGCGAGGCAGGACGAGCACGGGAGGGGCGGTGAGACCAGACGTGCGACGGAGGAGTCGGGTCAAGAGACAGGGGAGGGGACATAGGAGGGGAACGAGGGGGGAGACGAGCCGGGGACGAGTCTGGCGGAGGGAAAACAGGGCCGTAGACAGGAAGAGGAGGAACCGACGCAGGGTCGGGGGACGGAAGGCCGAGCAGGTGAAGGGCGGACACCGGCGGGGACCGCTGCTGCGGCGGCACAACGGCGACACCTGGACCGCAAGCTGCCCCTCGGCGACCACCGGCACTCTCCACACCAGCACCCCCAGAGGGACCACCCCCAGGGCGACCGGGACGAGCACCCCCAGAGTCGGCGAACGGGGGCTGCGACGGCGGCGGCGGCGGCGGCGGAGGCGACGGCAGCGGCGGCGGCGGCGGCTGCAGCAGCGGTAGGGGCGGTGGAGGAGGGGACTGGGGAGGGGACACCTGGGGAGGGGCGGCCGGCGAGGACTGCACAGGAGGGCCACCAGAGGCAGAAGACTCCTCAACCGGGTTGACGGACGGAAGGGGGGTGACGTGGGACACACCAGAGGGGGCGGGACGGGGAGGAGGAGGAGGAGGGGCAGGGACTACCGGGGAAGGGGTGACCAGGAACAGGGGGGGGTAACCGGGGGACCACGGTGGGGAAAGCGGCGGTAGTAGGAGGCGGACTCGTCAAAGGTGACGTCACGAGAGTGAAAGAAGCGGTGAGACGGCGGGTGGTAAAAGTGCCAGTCGGACGCGTCAAGGGGAAAACCGAGGAAGACGCAGGGAAGGGTGCGGGCAGTGAGCTTGTCCGTACCGGAGGCACGGACGTGAGCAAGGCAGCCCCAGACGTGGAACGCAGACGCGTCACCAGGGGACCCAGTCCAAAGACGGGTCGGCGAAACCTGCGGCTGATGAGGGTGCGGCCACAGGTTAAGCTGGTGGGAAGCGTAGCGCACAGCGAACGGCCACAGAAAATGGGGTGCACCGGCATGGATCATGGAGGTGCGAGCGACCTCCATGACCAAACCGATGCGTCGCTCAGCGACCCCATTCTGCTGTGGGGAGTCCGGTAGGGTGAACGTCTGGGTGATGCCCTCCGCACGACAAAAGCGACCAAGGACACCGGAGGCAAACTCGCCACCACGGTCTGAGTGAAGACGCAAGACAGGGAGACCGCGGTGGACACGCGCAGAGACAAGCCAGGGGATGAGAGCGCCAGGCACGTCGGCCTTGCGCTCCAGGGGAAAGACGGTGGTGTAACGAGTGAAGTCGTCGACAAGCACAAGGAAGTAGCGCTCTCGACGCGGCCCAGGGACGGGGGCGGGGCCCCAGACGTCCAGGTGCAGGGTCTGCAGCGGCGCGGCGGTAGGGGGAAAAGAGGAGGAGTGAGGGGAACGGCGAAGCCGACCCTCGACACAAGGCGTACAAGGTGGGGCTGGAGAGGAGGGAAACGCGGGGAGCGAACCTGGGAGACCAAGGACGAGACCGTACTGAGACATGTGACGCAGACGCGGGAGCGCAGGGTGACCTAGGCGGTGGTGCCACAGGAGGGTCGGGTGAGTGAGGGAGCGACAGGAGCAGGCAGCAGCAACCTGGGTAGACGCAGCCACCTGAGGGGGCGCTCCAGCCGGGGGGTTCACGGTGTCCAGAGTGAACAGGCCGGACACCGGGTCCCGGGGGAACGTGGACAGGGGGGCACCAGTGGCGGCCTCGGTACAGACAGCATACCGCTCGTGACTAGGGAACGTAGTGGTGACGCCAAGGTCCTGGAGGCAGCCGACACCAACTAGGTTCCTGGAGAACGAGGGGATATGCAGACCTGTAAGAGAACCCGAAGGAACCGCCGGAGGGGTCAGCAACTACCGGACCGCCGGAGGGGTCAGCAAGAGAAACGGCAGCAGGAACAGGAAGCGGCGTCAGGGTGGTGGAGTCGCGGAAGAAACACCGAGAGGCGCCAGAGTCCAAAGTGA